TTGTCGTGCGGCCTCACGACACGTTCTTGCTGACGACGCTCTTGGCATGGCTGTTGAAGTCGTCCTGGTGGGTGTGCTGCCGCTGCACATCCGTTGCTGTTAGCAGGTCGCCCAGAAACGGCGCCATACCCACGGTGTCCTCCATGTCGATGCTGGAGGAAAAAGTCTTTTTGAAGACCTTATCGCCGACCGTTGGACGCATGGGCCCCTGTTGCTGTCACGCCCGTAGTGCCTGGTGCAACCACCAGCGCATCCAGCCCCGCGTCCCGAATGCCGCCACGCTGACCCGCTGGGTGCCGCAGGGGCCTGCTCGGCGGCAGCACCGCTGCCTTCAGCGGACGTTCCGCCGCCCTCCTCATGCCGATATCATTTTCCTTAAAGGGCCCAACCATATAAAGCACCGCCTGCCCAACCGCAGATGGTACTTGGGGCCCAGAGCCTGGGGTCGGGTCGTGACCCCTCAGCATCCACCTGGTCCTCATTATTCACTACATGTGCCTCTTTGGCCGTGGCCAGCTGCACCATGAATGTTGCCGCTGCTGCTGCTGCTTGCCCCCAACCCCGCTGTTCCTTGCTCCGTCATTCCACGTCGGAAGGCTCATCTTGCGGTGCCTGCGCCCCAGCCTTCTGTCCCTCCTGGCCCGGGGCGATTGCCCCAGCCATGAAGCCCGGCTGAGCTGTGACTTGCCAGGATGGCGCGACGCATTCCTGGCGGTCTTCCCGAGCCCGCAGCTTCAGATATGACGTCTGTGCGCGCTTAGAATGATGATTTATGTCAGCAGTAACTCGCTTGAAGCGGGCAACAAACTGCGCGTACGCCTCTCTCGATGCTTTGGTCCTGCCCAGCTTTAACAAGCTGACAAAGGCTTATTCAGCTTCCAGTAATTTTATTAACTTGGAGCGCACATGTCCTGCCGCGAGCGGTGCTGCTGCTGGAGATTGCAGCTGCCGGTCATCATGTTCACGAGTTCCCAAGTGGCTCCAGTAAACGTCCGCCATACTTATCAACAGTTGTAGATATATGAAATAAGAAGTCAAAACACCGGCGTCCAAGCCCAACGCAGCAAGGGCCGCATGCGATTGACTAGTGTTGACTGTTTGTAATTAGGCAGCAACTGGTCATATAACGACGTAGGCAACCAAGGCGAGACACAAGCACAACGCAGCGAGCAGCGAGTTGGCACTCCAAACGCAAGCTGCACACAGACGCACACCAATGCACTCGCCTCTACGGCCTCTCGCCTCAAACTAGATTTTTAGCTATGCCAAAAATATAATGTTTTTTAGGTACTAATGATAGTAACACCAGACCGAAGCGATCTCATGGCCTGCCCAAATGGTTGTGTAGCTGGCATGGAGGGCTGACGGTGCGGCGGGGTGCGTGGTTGGGTGTGTGTTTGCGGCCGTTTACGAGGGCGGCTGACGAGGGGGGGCTGACGTGGCTGCTTAGGAGAGTGTCACATGGGCGTCCCGTTTGGGAGGGTCAGTTGGCAGCGTAGTAGGGACACATGAGGGAGGCGTTTACATCGTCGAGCGGCAGGCCAACACAGGGCCAATGGGCACATTGCACCGGCAAGCCCAGCGTCTGCGGCCCTGAGGGGCTTGTCGTTTTGCCAATAAGGAGGGTCGCAATTGCGATACTATGCAGCCATAATGTTTGATTTCTGTACCTGCTTCACGGCACACCGCTTAACTTGCATATGTATCCTTCCTACCTGAGAGCCCAGTGTCAAATTGTGAAAGCCATTCCTCCTCATTTGCCATGTGAGCGTCATGGTAGAGGGGTGTTCGCGCAAGGTACCGTAATGCGCCAAGGACAGCTTGGGGTTGGATCATCTGGCGCATGAAGGTCCGCTTGTACTGCAGTTTGCGTTCCAAGCCAACCAGTACGGTTTCGCTGTCGTCGAGGTGCCGCGGCAGCATCTGCTGTACGCGAGTTAAGTCAACGGGGACGTTCACAACAGATCCTAAGGGCGAGGGGCAGGTTGAGGGCAGATGTTTGGGCCAGGCGGGTTGGGAGAGGGCTAGCTACGGCCTGATTTGGAAAGACATTTTGGAGTCCGTGGTAAGGGTACGGTGAGTGCAGATGGTTGGGTCGGATGAGGTGAGACCATACTAGCTAAGGACAGTCATAGAGAGACTATTCGCAGCCCATCGGAAGGAAATGATAGGAAGTCTTTCAGTGATATAGTGGCAGATGGGTCTTGCATTTTGTAGCAGGTTTACTGTAGGGAAACACCATGGAACACGCTTCCATAGGATGTGAAATTAGTGAAAATTCCTCACGACTTACCCCGGAGGCCATGTTGATGCCCAGCAGGAAGTCTCCTTGACTGGAGGAAAATAATCCGCCTAGCAATGAGCCTTTCTGCTAGCTCTGGAATGCCCTGAAGCTCGACTGGCACAACCGGGAATCCAAGCCCATTGTCTACAGCGAATCGCGGGCAGCGATCCCTACGGATGCTATTTAAGCATGTATGGCATATACGGTATGCCCTATGCCAGTTCGGGCTACCCATCCTGCAAGGTTTGTTGCCCACACTTCGCTGAGGGTGTCATACATGGTATCCGTGACCTCTACCACTGAATGTTTGAACAGACGTCGCTCACAGCAGCAGCATGCGAACGAGCAGGTTTGGGAGAACGCTTCTCTGCACGCCTTCTCAGCAGCTTCGACACACGAGTGCGTGCTGGTGGTCGGGAGCCCAAGGCCGTCGGAATCCACATCTGCCTCGTTCTCGGTGCCGGGTTCGTCTTCATCTGAAAGGGCATGGCGCGAACCCAAAACTCCGTCATCTATGTATCTCAAGCAGCAAGTGTGCACTGAGGCTTATCCAACGTTTGTGCGCTTAAATGAAGGCCGGAGCTATAGAACCTTTGTCAATGCCCCACAACTAGCAAATATTGGCAAACAACCAATAACCCACCAATGTCACCATCCTCCACACCGCTATTGTTGCTGACGTTTCCATTATCCTCTGATGAACATAGAAGACGCTGAGTTTTCGCCAACTGCCGAAGTCGGTAGTGCACTTGATGGTACGTGGCAGCACTTCCATTCAACTCCTTTACGACAGCGCCCGCTGTTACTTTTCTGTTGGTGGATTGTAGCGTGAGCACTGCTTCCTGAAACGCTGCTTCCTCGTCCGGAGTCCACTTTGCACGCTTCTTCGAAGGCTGAGTGGTAGCGTTGGGCCTAGGCCGGATATACTTTTGCACGGCTTTGTTGTATTGCAAAAAGCTGATAACACGTTTATACGTCAAGCCCTTCAAGCGCGTGTCGGAGCACACTTCGTCATGCAATAGCTTGGCAGTAAGTTTCAGTCCGCTAGAAGCAATAGTCTCGGCTGCTTTACACATAGCGTCAACTTCATATGTTTTCATGCATTCCCTGGCCATTGTGTGTATTGAGTAAGGAAGGCAAAACCGAAGCCATTGGTGTCGGCCCTATTAAACTACGCTGCTGGCCTTACCGCGACAACAACCTAACGGATACCAACGTGTAGCAAGCTATCGACATGCGCTTAATGCCTCTTTTTTTGTAACTTGTTTTGTACTTTGTACGACACAGGCCAATATCACTGCTCACCCATATACACATCATTATTTTAACATCACAATATAACAAACACGTGTGCATTGATTATGTGACGAACGCTGCAGCTAGAAACTCCTCTCTACTCATAACAATCGTTCTTGACTTGGAGCCACATCGCAGGTTGCCTTTGTGACTTGCATATACACATTCAAATTCCAAACCTTTTGCACGAAAAAGATGCCAAAAAGCTCACGCGAAAAAATGTTAAATTTGCCGGGGTGTTCACTAAGGCTGTTCCCTTGCTTCCAAGCCGCGGCCTAGCGGAGCGCCTGGAATCAAGGGCAGGCCAAAAAGGCATTTGCAACAAAGATTTAGATAATAATGATAGTAACAAAAAGCATTTTGCAACAAAGAATCTCTTGACCAGCCATCCAAAAGGACAACTATGGCCACACTAACTACCACTCACAGAGCGCAAAATGCTGGCCAGAAATGTCCCCAAGATTGAAATGGCTACACCATACATACCCTTGTGATAGGCTACACTGGAAACCTTCGGCACGCGGATAAACAACACCAAAAGGCAGAGCAGCACCACAGGCTTGCGGCCCTCCTCCGCCAGGACGGATGGCTTGTCCAGTACTCACCACAGGAGGCTATGAGGCTGGCTGGCACCATTCGCTCCATCCGCTCCAATCGCTGGCACCATCCGCTCCAACCTGAAGAAATCCCTAATGGCCATGGGGGTGGCCCCCAGGCATGCCTCCTAAAGCTGCAATAGCCTGCACCACCATGCCAACCACCACCTAAACTTATTTATGCCGTCGTGTCCTGGAGCGGGGCACAAAGCCCCCTGCTATAGTGGACAGGTAATCCCTACCTACACCACCCCGACAGTGGTGCTGCTGGCATACAAGGGATAACACTCTTCAGTTCCTCGCCCCCACAACACACGCCAGGGCTACACCCGGCGTAACTATTATTGTTATTATTACCTTTATTATTACCGCGCCTCTATAGTGTTTACCTGATACCATAACTAGTATTCAGGAAAACGGGAACAGCGACATGCTGCCAAGTGGCTATCTGTGAAAGTCGACAGTCAAACTCTGCAAGCAAGGGGGTTTAGCGTCTGGGTAATAAGGTGTGATTGTGCCTACAGGTGCATGCCATGAAACGACGTGAGTGCATGCCCTAACGCTCCAGTAATTGGAATACGTACCTGTACTGGGAAGGGGGGCTCCGCCCTTTTCCTGCTTTGAGAAAGCTGAAAATCCCTTGTCCAAAGGAAGCTATGCCTGTCCGCAGGTGTCCCTCTCGGGCCTGTGCTCCAAGCAACGCATAGTGAATGTTTGCATTAGGACCGACAGTGTCACAATGAGGTAGCGAGTTTGATCCTTATTATGTTTCACCCTTCTCTTAAGTAGCATCAATCTTCCTCCCCTCCATTCTTTACCAGCAGGCTTGCCTTGGAAGCTTCAAGGATTCTTTCGAACGGCACAACCACGAGGTGGTAAAACACACACGGGTGGGTGCCGAACAGTTAGACACAGCGCCCGGATAGGCCCCGGATAGGTCCTTCATGAACGAGTGTGTCCACTTATCTAAAGAGTTGTGTTAGGTGCCCAAAATATCCGTTTAACTGAGCTACATAGATCTCAACTGCGTTCATGCTCTTTATTTGTTGTTAGCTGCACATGGTGAATGATCTCTGCCATAGTCAAGCGCCTGGAACACCTACAAAGAGTACTTGCAAGTACTGCATGCTCTGCAAGAAGCTGGCAGGGCATGCAGTACTAGGCCCTTAAGGTCCCTTAAGGTTGCTTGGCTGGCTCCATTGCCCTTGCTGTCGTTGCAGCGCCTGACCAACGCACTTGCTGTCAAGTGTGCCTTGCCTCCACCTGCTGCGGATTATGAGGAGGGTGATCTCCCAGCCCTCCTGTGCCGGCTGGGTGGCAGCGAGGACGTGCAGAAGGCCATCATGGTCGTGGCGGCGGATCCTGATCTTCTGTGGCAGCTCAAGGGGCTGACGATGCAGGTGGGATGGGGCGGCAGGGCGAAGCAATTTCTACTGTGTCTGCCTTCAGGTGCCTTCACTGGTGATTGAATGCCAAATATTCTTGCCATAAATTGCTGGTGGGTTGTTTGCAAGTTTAAATAGCGTGTATAGCAGTAAGGGCCCAGGGTGATGTATATGGATAGTGGTTCATATGCTGTGAGGTAGAACAGGCCTGCTGTTGTAGGCTACACATCGTACTTGCCATTTCAGGTCCAGTCGCAGAAGTTTGAGTCGGCGCTGCTGGCGGTCCTGGAGGCGGCGCGGCTTGTCCGTCTGCCAGACAAGCTGCCGCCCGAGCTGCGGCGCTTCTGGCACCAGCACTTCAATGCTGAAAGCGTTAGCTTCGACATCTTTTGCGATGTGGTGGGTTTTCGCAGAAACAATACCGTGTCCTAGGGATATCATCGCATTGTGATTGTTTGTAGGAGTCTCAACTGCTCATCTCCGCCGCTCAGTTCTCTCATATCGATAGGCAGCTGCTAAGGACCAAACTTGTAGATCTTGCTTGTAATGGTGTTGCGCGATGATTACAAGCAGGTACGGTAGTTTGTTGTGTCATGTACACTGGGTATATTTGGTAAACGTTTGCAGAGCTTGACTTCAAAGGCAGTAGGTTACGACACATTTTCTTTGCTTTTAGCGAAGCAGCGAGTGTTCAGGCAGCGGGTGCTGCCTCAGGATTGTGACGGCTGAATTGCAACAAGTTGCGAATGTAGTTAAGAACATCGAAACCTAACCTCCATGCGGCATGTCTTGTGCATAGGAGTGTGCCTTACACATTTCAATGCCTGTACGTACGCACGCCTGCACCATCTGCGTGCAGGTTCTGTCCACAGTTGAGGATAAAGTATACGACATGGCCCTGGCTGTCAAGGAGCGAACAGTCAAGGTGCAGATGGCATGGGTAGTAGTGTCGGTTAGACAATTCTCTTCGTAACAAAGTGCCATGATTGCTGCCGAGCCCATTTTCACTGGTCGGCTTATTACCCATTGTAGCCACACTCATGCCGGGTGATGGCACTGCTAGATAGGTAATAATATCCGTAGGCCTGACAATTGCTTACTTGGCGTCCTGCTACCATACATGGTTCTATGTGGCTTGGCACTGCAGCTAGCTACGACAAAATTATAGCAATTCTGGAAATGAAGGTGAACATGAATGTGTCATTCATCTTTTTGTGCCACCTTGCGTGCAGGTCCTTTGCCCGGCAGACTTGGAGGAGCTGAGTGGGTCGGGCTGCAAGGGGCCCGAGCACCTGTTGCGTCAGCTGTTGCAGGGGTATTTAGACCTAAACGGCAATGGACTTGTGCATACAGACGAATATTATTGCTTCTACTTGCGGTGGGTATGTGTACGGAGTGTGACAGTCGTAGGTGACAATGGGGTTTTCTAACCTTGGCTCTCACCTTTAGGCTTGCAGACCATGCATATATGCGTAGGTTCTTGGCGTAGTCCTAATAAAAGCAAGAGAGTTACTTTGTAGATAGTATTGTCCTGTGCAGTCTCTAAACAATTGGGCATACAGGGTACCGTATGCAATACATAGTAAGGCTTCGCATCTGCAACAAACAACTATAGCATCAAGGAAACCGTTATGTGATGAAATTGTGCGCCCCATGCAGGTGTTGTGAATGGGCAGCAGCCTTGGCCGGTTCCCCTGAGCCAGCAGACTTGCCATCCTGCATCGACCTGCTTTGCACCAACTTTGACCCCAAGTGTCTCTCAGAGGCCAATCGGCAGGAGAAGCGGGAGGTGGCGGACGTGCTCAAGCCATATAACTTCTCCTCGGTTGTGGCCAGCCATCTCACTCACTTCCTGCCAGGCAGCCGTTCCTGGCTGTTCCAGGCTTACAAGGAGTGGCTAGCCAAGGGCCCAAAAGATCCCAACTACCGTGCTCTGGTGCTGTACAGCTGCCCGGGACTGGGCAAGTCAACAGTGGCCGCGGCCCTGGTGTCGAATATGTTTATTAACAATGCGGTGGAAGACGGGGAGCCTGTGGGCTCGGCGGTGGCTGGGCACTACTTCTTCAGGCACAACGACAACCTGTAAGCAAGGGGGCAAGTAATGCAGTTGAGCTGCCCTTACTTCACCATTGCTGGCTTCCTTGCAAACACCGTCCAGAGTGTCTCTGCTCCATTATACTAAAGGTGGCTCTACTTTAAAAGGCACGCGGATGCAATGCAACCACTGCACAAAACTGCCAACACCCCAAAACTTGTACGGGCGTCACCATCTAGCTGGTTTCTGTACATTGATAGCCACGTACGTTACTGCCTTTGCGACTACTGCCACTCCACCATCCCCAGTGGGAGGGACCCGGTACTGCTGATACGCACCTTGGCCTTCCATCTGGCCTCTGTCCTGCCCGCCCTGCGTCCGCACCTGATGCCACCCGCACTGTCGGCCGAGGAGGTGATGAAACTGCCAGACTTGGAGACTGCCTACTGGAGGCTTCTGGCGGGACCGTTGGACACCATCAAGGTAAAAATAGGCAAATCCGCAGATGTCCACAAATCATTAGAGCATTGTGTTAGGAAAATGTATTGACTAACCTGTACCTGTACCAAATTACCGCGTCTGATGTAGTCATCTTCGGATGACATGTGCCATGTGTTTGAATCAGTTGAAACAGTTGCATGTGTTTGAACAACAGCTCGGAAGGGGAGAGGTGTACGGTGCGTCGCATGTAACATCACCATGCATGCATGTGCCATCCCAGCAGCTACATGTGTCATGGCATGTACGTTTTTGGCCTGACACTACGTCATCGTGTTACATACATGCTCTTATATACCTCTGCACGCGCCTTCCGAAGGACGAGCTGGCAGCCCTGCACCAGCCACTGGTGTTGGTGATTGATGCGCTAGATGAGATGGAGCTGGAGCCCGGAGGCAGTGGTGCATCGCAAACTTCGCTGTTGCGGCTCATTCGTGAGCACTCCTTCAGCCTGCCTACGGTAAGTGTGGCCTGTTGTTCCAATATGCAGACGATTAGAATGTCCAGAAGAAAACCGTCTTGTTTTGGTTCAGCCAAGCAGGCCCTCTCATGACATGCTTAGGGCCCCAGCAGCCTTCTGCATGAGGGGCAAAGTAGGCTAGCGGCATGCATGTCTCGGCATTGGTAACTCCATCTTATCTTTCATCATTGGTAGACCAGCCTCTTGTTCAATTAACGCTATGTCAGCGTCTACCCTGCACAACGTGCTGCTACAACGTGTTGCCTGCCCTGATAATCAGGCTGTCCGCTTTGTGCTGACCACACGGCCTGAGCCGCATATTACCCGTGTACTGGGCGAGGCTTTTAGCCCGTTTATCATCGAGCCAGACGACCCACGCCACCTGGAAGACCTGCGGCAGCTCATCACCCATGAGTTGGGCAGCCGGCTGGTGGTGAAAGGGAATGAGGTTGCTGCTGGTGGTGGCATTGGCAAGGAGGCTTGTGAGCCTACCACTAAGGATGTGGATGCAGCGGTGGATCTGCTGCTAGGCAAAAGCCAAGGCTCCTTTGTATATGTGGCCAGGTGGGTTGCTTGCTTTTTGCAGTAACTATCAGTATTTGATTGGGGGTGCCTATTGAGTGGTTAGGGGACGAGGACGCAGCTACCTGCGTAGGGAAAGTGCAAGTAACCTGCACACTCGCGACCCTGGCGCCTAAACTTACAAAACATGTATTCCCAAGCGTGGGATGTCAGCCTATTTGATGCCCTCCTGGGCCAATGCCCATTGCGATCCTGACATCAGCATTACATGCACAACAATTCCTAGATTCGAGGTTGGAAAGCTGATACTCTTTGCGTATATAGTAGTTGCTTTCTGTTCACACTAGCTTAGGATAACAGGATAACAGACATGTAGTTACACTGGTTGCGGCATGCCACAATTTCATAAACCAGTATCATGGATATTCGAAATAGTGACCATGTGTATCACCAATACAGGCTTCGTCCTGAGTCCATCCTATGCTACAAACCAAACACGCATTCCTAGAATGATTGTGGCATATGCAACTCGTGCATCTTGCCTATGTATTTACTTTGTATACGCCTTTTGTTCTTATGAATAACTTACCCTGTCCGTGTGTCCGTCTGTCCGTAACGTCAGAACATACAAACTAGACAAACGGACACACGGACAGGGGTATTAATTGCAGCGGGGGCTCCGCCTGAAAACGCCTTTGACTGGAACATGGCAATAGCTTAGCACTCATACTGCCCTCCGTCAGCGTGTGATTTATATACATTAATCATGTGCTTGCAAGACTAATGATGGATACTTACCCTTTACACTTTATTACCAGTCTGCTGGATGAGCTGAAAGCCAAGCCGCACTGGAGCCTGGGGGACCTGACAGCCTTCCCCCAAGGCCTCTACGCCATGTACACCGACTTCCTGCAGAAGCACATCGGTGCTCCTGACAGCCCCACCTTTTGGGCTGTAAAGCGCCTGCTACAGCTGCTGCTGGCGGCTCAGGACCCGCTGTGCGTCGAAATGCTGGCAGCAGCCTGGGATAGCAGCGGGCTGCTGGTAGGTGGTGTGCGGCAGCTGATGTGGGCCAGTGAGGCGCAGCAAGAGGTTGAGCAGCTGCTCAGCAAGCTGGGCTCCCTCTACATGCTACGTGACAACCACGTGCTGGTCTTCCACAAGTCCCTCCACGACTTCCTGACAGCTCGCAAGCTCGAGGATGGCACGCCCAACGTTTACTGGGTCGACCCGCTGCCAGGGCATGCCTTGCTGGGTCCCGTGGGGGTCCAGCTTGTGTCGCAGCAGGCGGCCAAGGCCATGGGGCTGTCCCCTGCACCCTCCGTCTCAGCCCTTATGCTGCCCGCTGGCAGCATCAGCGCCAATAACACAGGCACCGGCAGTAGTAAGACAGCAGCAAAGCAGTGGTCAGCCAGCTACAGCCGCCAGTACACAGTGCGCCACCTGGTGGAGGTGCTCAACCAGGCGGAGGAGGACCCGGAGGGGGCTGACCTAGCCTGCCGCCTGCTGGAGGAGCTGCTGGGGGACTATGACTACGTATACGCTGTGTTCAGCAGCGGTTTGGGCCACAGTGTCATCAGGGACCTTGGGGTCCTCAAGCAGAATAACAGGTCCTCCAAGCTGTATGATGCATTTCGATGGTTGTTCATCCAGCAGCATGACTTAACAGGAGCCACGGATGTTACCAACGTGATTGCCACTGGTCTTAAGTGCCCAGTCGGCACAACAACCTTTAGACAGGCCCAAGCACAGTACCAAGTTCTGTCTGCCACCCAGGGCCTTCAGTCCCAATGGAGGCTCCAGTGCAAGCTTGGGGGCCCCAAAACCTGGACTGCACAGTTACTGAAATCCACGGTGAGCTGCTGGTATGAAGTAGGTATGGGAAGGAGGAGGGTTTAAATCAATGTCCGACTCAGGCTGGAACAAGGTTTTACGAAACTAAAGGTTGGATACAAGGTAGACGTCAGCTTCGGTCCCCTAATGCCAGTTTCATGGCGGGGTGGTGATTGATTGTGATCACCACCGAGCCCCCTCTCACTTCATAGGGTGGTGCGGCTACGTCTCCAAACAGCCTTAACAATTATCTTGTGGAAGCTTTGTCTTTTAGGCCTCCTTACAAACCCCTTGTGCATCAACAATAATTTCACGCTTTCGTGATGCTGTGGAAACATGGAAGTGAATTGGCGTCAGGATGGACGCTACATGGCAAGTAGCTGTGCTGCATGAACTTCATTTGTGTACGAGGAATTTGAGTCATTTTAAGATGCAAGCTTGCCTTTGCTTCATACTTTTCACACGCGGGGTGGTTAATGATAGGATGATAATAGTTTTGAAAAGAATGCTTGTCACATCGTGTAGAGGTCATACCTTTAGACCCCTACATGGAAAACTTGCATCAACTTAGAGCCACGGCATGGCCGTGCTTCCCTCGCTCATCCTGCCTCCATGGACATGGTGGGACTGCGTGCCCCGTCGTGCCAAGCTGAACTAAAAACGAGTCGCTTGCCCCATAATGTCTAAAACCACTTTAAGCCGGGAGTCATTGGGCACTGTCGTCGTTCGTGCTGCTGCCCCCAGGGACATGATGGAGTCATCAACAGTGTGGCATGGAGCCCGGATGGCCGGTCGCTGGCCAGCGGCAGCAGTGACAAGACCATTCGGCTGTGGGATGCAGCCAGCGGCGAGTGCAAGACCACGCTTCAGGTGAGATATATAACTGGAAGTGGCAGCAAATATCCTTAGTTTACAACACCTCGGGGGAAGATTGGATATGATCTATATATTTATGCTCATACGAAGCAGGCCAATAATGAGTTTGACTTGCTTACTAGGAAATTCGAATCTACCTGAACAGACTCAAGAGTAAGATGAATTACTGCAACAAGTCTGGTTCATGAGGGGGTCGCCTTTCTTATGATGCTTTTCCAGGGACACAATAGCTTCATCGTCTGGGTTGCATGGAGCCCGGATGGACGGTCGCTGGCCAGCGGCAGCTATGACAAGACCATCCGGCTGTGGGATGCAGCCAGTGGCGAGTGCACTGCCACCCTGCAGGTGAGCCGATGGCCATACATGGTAGCCAGTAAGAATGGCGATGCCGGCAAGACGATAGAGTGGCATTTAAGATGGTATAACATGTTACTACTGTCTGATAAAGCAAAACCTGTAATGGACGACGTTTTCCTCCCTGTGCAGGTGACGTTTCAGCAAACACCTCTCAATGTCACGTCTTATGCATGCCTTCAGAGATAGGCATACTTACAAGTGAAAGGCGTGTTTAGCATCAATCTGGGATCACGTGGTCACCCGTTAATGGTGCTGCCCCCAGGGACATGACGGAGTGATTAGCAGTGTGGCTTGGTGCCCGGATGGCCGGTCGCTGGCCAGCGGCAGCAGTGACAAGACCATCCGGCTGTGGGATGCAGCCAGTGGCGAGTGCACTGCCACCCTGCTGCAGGTGAGCCATCGAGCATTGTAACTAGGAGGCATGTATGGTAATGCTACCCAGATACAAGAAACTCTATAACTCCGCACTAATAAGTATTTATACACATGCAGCCATTCATATGGTTAGATAGGCTCAATGGCTCGTTCACAAGCAGCATTTGGGGCGGAGCCTACTCCGTGATAAAACGGGCCAGGGGGCCAGGAATTTCCCCCAGGATTGCCCACGTCCGTGTGTCCGTCCGTCCGTGTGTCCGTAATGGCAGCTTCTATACTATAGCCTAACGGATACAGGACTGCGGTGGAAGGGCGCGCCTGGGGCTCGAGGAACGCAAGTGGACTGGAGCACACTACTAACCAACACAACCGTGCACTTAGGCATTACATAAATGCATGGGAAGTTACACGGTGAGATGCATTGTCTGTTGACCAGAGAGTATTGCCTTGGGCCTCCCCCTGTGTGCGAGCGACCCAGACATGGTGCCAAATGGTATGCATATCCCGAGAAAAGGTCTTTATAATAATGTGGAATGGATGGTGCTTTTCTGGGGCCATTTCGCGAGGTTTGCAGGGTTGTCGTACAGCAGCAACCGTACAACAGGGTGGGTGGGTGGGTCCGGCACCCCTTTCTTGACGTTTTCAGAATGGGGTTTGGCAAAGACTTTCTAACCCCCCACCCTGGGAAAGTAACAATGATGATAACCAAAATGAACCAGTTGCCCTCAAAAAACCTATGCAGGCTCGGTTATGTCCTTGGCATAGTAGCTCCTACTACTTCCCCCTGTGTAACGCTGCCCCCAGGGACATGATGGGGTCATCGGCAGTGTGGCATGGAGCCCGGATGGCCGGTCGCTGGCCAGCGGCAGCAGTGACAAGACCATTCGGCTGTGGGATGCAGCCAGCGGCAGATGCACCCTCAAACTACAGGTGAGTAAATGGGCATGGGGGTAACTCGCTTAATGGTAATGTCATCTACACACAATCAAAATTCGGAAGTCATATCTGAATCTTAACATAAAAATGAATTTGAGCAGTTGAACGCCCTGCTCCTTATTAAAACGTTGCGTGCCCCCATTTGCCACCTTATCGACGAACGTCTGGCCCCAATAGGCAAGCCACAATATCCCTTGGCCCCAAATGCAAAACGCCAAGCAACCATGGCAATAGACGTCTTTAAACCTCTTTAAGAGACATCTGGCCTCCTTTGGCGCCTGCGTAAAACGTTTGCATTAATTAACTACTCTGGTCCAAAGCACCATCACCCGTGCTGCCCCCAGGGACATGACGGAGTGATTAGCAGTGTGGCGTGGAGCCCGGATGGCCGGTCGCTGGCCAGCGGCAGCAGTGACAAGAGCATCCGACTGTGGGATGCTGCCAGCGGCGAGTGCACTGCCGCCCTGCAGGTGAGCCAATGAGCCTTGCAGCTAGCAGGCACTCCAGGGGCATGTATGTTGGGACATCCATGCCAATCCTCTATATTTGGGTTTGACAGGATGTCTCTTCACATTTGGAGGGATGTAAGGAAAAGGTTGAAGAGTCATGCTATTAGTCTTGCTGGACCCCCAGGGGACCCCCTCCTCCTCCTGTCACCCAAAAATGGTGTACATCTTTTCGAACGTGTACGGAAATTATTGTTCGTGACTTGATGATAAGTAAATTGCGCTCGCTATTTCTCTGAGATGCTGAAAGTGTTTCGCCACCTTGCAGCTGGGTACCGAACACTGCCAAAATCCCAATGGTGTCGTACCTGGCTTTACTGACGACTTGCTACGCATGAGGTTTGCAGTTGCACTCGGTCAGGGCAGAGTGGTCTGCCTGGCAATGGGTGAATGGAGCCGTCGGCTAGCAGACAGACAACGCCACTGCTGGGGCCAGCCCTTGCTTTAACTATAGTTGTTAGCTAACACGCCGTTCAGCTATATCTACCTATCCGTTGCCACTGCTGCGGCCTATGACTGCTAGGTCAACCATGAGCACTTGGATGGCGACAAAACTTTCTTAGTCCTTTTGGAGCTTGTTCATAACCGATGGGGAAGGGATCTTATAGATAAACGCAGTTTTATGCCGAATTCGCATCTGCACGTACCGCAGATACGGCTGGAAATTCCTCACAGGGCTGAGGGGACCCCCTGCCCTGTTGGGCCCCTTCCGGATACCCCAAATCGAGCCCAGGATTAAGCTTTAAGCGCAGATTTTGATGCTTCTTTGGGTGTCCGGGGTTCGGAAAGGGCATGGGCACCCCTCCTGGTCACACTTTGCACACTTCTCTTCAGGACTGGAATAAAAAGCATCGGATCTATCACTGTTCCGTAATGCTGCCTCCAGGGACATTTTGACGAAATCAGGAGCGTGGCGTGGAACTCGAATGGCCGGTCACTGGCCAGTGGCAGTTATGACAAGACCATCCGGCTCTGGGATGCTGCCAGCGGCGAGTGCACTGCCATCCTGCAGGTGAGGCAATGGTCATGACAGCTTGCAGGCGTGGTAATGCCAGCTGCTGGATCCTTGAGTCACTAAGCAGTTATATAATTCATAGGAAGTCTAACTGACATAACGATTATCTGCTTAATACGTTTACCTTAACAGGCAGCAGGTTCCATCCGTACCTATTTATTGGGAACAGGACCATTTGTGTTGTTGTGCCATTCTGCATTTGCCGATGCAAGCAAGCAACCCTAAATCCAAAACCATTGACAAGCTTCGAACCAACGGGCAGCCGCCAGACAAACGGACGCCACGGTTCAGTGTCTTGCTTTAGGCTAATTTTGCCAAAGAAAATGCCATGATTTGGTTAAATAATTTGGTTAATGACACGATCACCCTCCCATCACCTTTGATCGCCTCAGGGACATGATGACATTGTTTACAGCGTGGCATGGAGCCCGGATGGACGGTCACTGGCCAGCGGCAGTTATGACAAGACCATCCGGCTGTGGGATGCTGCCAGTAGGTATGATGTCATGCTGCAGGTGAGCCAATGGCACGACAGCAAGCTGGCATAGGAATGCCATCGACACGCAAGGATTGGTTCACAGTTAATGTTGGACTTCGGTTGGACTTGTTAGCCATTAATGGTTCCTTCCTTCTTTATGTAGCGTTGCCTGGATCTCCCTGCCTTCTTATAGCCCATGTAGTACTAAGGCGGTAGCGTCTTCCTGACTACAGTAAATCAATGAACTGGTCTATGACAATTCGTTTTGCTGTTCTAACGGTGCTGGCATGTGCCTTGAAACCACATGTTCCTGTAGCATTTCCACAGATGCGAGTAAGTTGCCCTCCAAGCGGTTGCCCTCCATTGTGCTGACAACTGAAGTTCCGCCTCTGCATCAGCTTTTAGTCGTTCATTGCTCTGTTAACCATCCACAATAATCCTGACCCCAGGCACATGTGAAAGACATTTGCAGCGTCGGATGGAGCCCCGATGGCCGGTCGCTGGCCAGCGGCAGTGATGACAAGACCATCCGGCTGTGGGATGCAGCCAGTGGCGAGTGCACTGCCACCCTGCGTGTGAGTAATTGGTCGTGAATGCAGAGTGGCATGGTGATGTCAGCCAGCTAGACGCTAACATTCACTGAAAACAGGAGTAGCACTTCTGCTTTGTGTGGTGTCTGGCTTTGTGGGGCGCGCTTAGTGGCATGGAGTAGGTTTGCAATTAGATCTGCCAAACCAGTGCGCTTGGACCGGCCTTCGGCTGCTGGTGGAATGCCGTACAATGCAGATGCTATTGAGAATGAAATTGAGCCCAACAGTGCATCTGTTGGTATCCCTGTGTTAAGAAATATTCGTAATGTTCTCACACGTCACCCTTTATAAGCGCTTTTGGTAAAATGTTGGCCACCTTTGCATGACCCTTGCCCCAGGGACATGATGGAGTCACCAGGAGTGTGGCATGGAACCCGGATGGCAGGTCGCTGGCCAGCGGCAGCGATGACAAGACCATCCGGCTGTGGGATGCAGCCAGTGGCGAGTGCACTGCCACCCTGCGAGTGAGTAAATGGGCATGGCAGCAATCTGGATCGGTAATGTAAGCAGATTCGTGTGACCGCCCGTGTGTCAGGAACAGCAAAACAGACAGAAACATCTGGCCCGTACAACTAGTAATACATATTTCCTATCAACCATTGATTATAATTCTTAAAATTAAATATCAGGTTTAGTTACATTAAAAAAATAACTTCAATTCCCTGACCGGCCACGAGCATCGCAGCAATATCGATTACGGCGCCTGTAATAACACGTTTCACCGGTACCCTAACTTCTCTAAAGTGGATTGGTAACCGCGACCTTTCGAATATCGATAACGGCGTTCTGCCGTTATTTTGTAGAGTATGCTGCCTAGTACAAGGCTAACGGGTACCTGGCCGTTCTACTCCCTCCTTGAACTAAACATTAAGCACCCTTTCGACTTGCCTTTATTCCTCTCCGAACAAAGCCTTTGCATCCAGCTTAGTTCGTTCACGGCACGGCGGTAACCTTTGCGTGATCCTTGCCACAGGGACATGATAGCTTCGTTTTCAGTGTTTCATGGAGCCCGGATGGCCGGTCGCTGGCCAGCGGCAGCGATGACACGACCGTCCGGCTGTGGGATGCAGCCAGCGGCGAATGCACTGCCACCCTGCAGGTGAGGTATTGGGCATGGCAGCTAGCAGGCGTGGTAATGCCAGCTAGACCCAAGAATTAAACATGCCAGTCTCAGCTATGTAACAATTACACTTAAAATGGTATTTTTAATGACCATATGTGTCTTTGGAAAGGAAATCCCGGCACGATCTCTATGTGCTACGACAGAGTACGGTGAGTAATGGGCGCAAATTGTGTCGGCTAGATGCTACTGCCTTTCAAGGAACTAACCCAGAACATCCCGACATTTGCACTGTACAAAGCATGTCGCCAGGGCTATGCTTGGTGCGACTGTAGTTATATATATGCTTGCGTTCTGCTGCATGCCGCTCGATTACCACGTGAACATGCCCCAACGAGCTACCAACAGAAGCGTCATATGCACAATCTGTACGCTGTCATATCAGCTAGTATTTATGGCCATGGCCTCCCCTTGACAAGCACGCAACTACATGTTATTATGCACTCTAAACGTAGAAGTGACGGCTGGCAGGCCGTTGTGGCCGGGTTGAGAGCCCCACCAACGTTTGAAGCCAGGAGTGTCCAGAACTTGCTTGCTTGCGCCATTGCGTGTGCCGTACAATGATAATGCACGCATGCCTACCTTACCCCTCAGTAAAGCACGCTCTTAACACTGTTTGTGGGGTCAAACATGGGTATGCCCCGCTTGCAAGCACTCATCATACTCTGCCAATACCTTCCAGGTTATGTGTCAATGCTCTTCTTAAGGCAACGCTCCATTACTTAAATGCATGTCCTGTCGTGTTCTCACACATTAGAGGCCTTGCATTGCGCTTGGTTCATGCATGGCTGGCACGGTCGCTCTTTAATCGGTGATGCTGTCCCCAGGGGCATAATGACTGCATACTGTGTGTCTCTTGGAGCCCGGATGGCCGGTCGCTGGCCAGCGGCGGCGAGGACGAGACCATCCGGCTGTGGGATGCAGCCAGCGGCGAGTGCACTGCCACCCTGCAGGTGAGGCAATGGTCTTGTCAGCTAGCGGGCATGTCAAGGGCACCTTGCTTGACTGGACTTAAGAAATGGCGGGCTTCTGACACAGTTTGTAGTCGATAGTTAAGGGACCTCAATCCCTGTCTGTCTAACAACATTTCAGGCTTCAGCATTTACACGTAGAAGAAGGTACATTCTTGAACGGGTAAATTATAGCAGATGACAACAAAGAAGTAGTCCCAGTTAGCTTTGCCGTATTCCGCCTGTGGTGCTTTAATGATGGCACCTGCTGCTGTACCCAAAGTTTTTGTCTGCATTGCTAACCCAATGACTATTTAATTACCGTGCGTATTGCATCTAGCTACGCTTCATGACTAAAGTAAAACCAAAGCCAACCTCCACGCAATTGCCCCGTAAAACCTTGCAAACCTTGCAACGTTGCAAGTGTCTTGACCCGGGTTTAAGCCTCGACACGGTCACCTTTCCATGACCCTTGCCCCAGGGACATGATGGAGTCATCCGGAGTGTGGCGTGGAGCCCCAATGGCCGGTCGCTGGCCAGCGGCAGCGACGACAAGACCATCCGGCTGTGGGATGCTGCCAGCGGCGAGTGCACTGCCAAAATGCAGGCAAGCCAGTAGTGCACATTGCAACTAGCAGGCATTGCATTCCACGTATGCACAGGTTGACGCTAAGTGTTGTCGGCATTGAGTTTAGCTCTCCTCGAGGACATCAACTCAGACGATCTGGATTACAATTGAGTATGTATAGCGCGCGGTAAGGCGCTGAATAGTTCCAGAGTAATGGGTATATCGGTTTGTCTGTTGGGAGTACTTAACTGGTAGTATCAGTCAACACCCTTCAAGGGAAGGCTCGTCCGCATTGTCGCCTTCAGACCTTTTTACAAGCCTCCCTGACATGCTGCATGCCCCCAGGGACATGATGGCATCCATTTCTGCGTTTCATGGAGCCCGGATGGCCGGTCGCTGGCCAGCGGCAGCGATGACAAGGCCATCCGGCTGTGGGATGCAGCCAGCGGCGAGTGTGCTGCCACCCTGCAGGTGAGGTAATGGGCATGTCAGCTAGCGGGCATGCATGGTGGTGCCAGCTAGACGGATGAGTTGGATGGCTTACAGGTGACATGCTTACTCAAAGCAAGACGATACTGGGTTCCAGTTTTCAGAAGTAGTAGGGGCTAGCTTCTAGCCACCTAGAGCCAAAAGTAGTTTCTTCTTTGCCATTGATGCTATGTGCAACATTTTTGAGTCATACTTACATCTTGTGCATTGTATCCGGACTGAGCCGCCGGCAGTATTAATTTTAGTTCCCTTATTATACCAAACGCCGCTTTAGTTTCTTGCACGGTTACACTTCTTTTCATGCTGCTGCCCCGCCCCATCCAGGGACATGATGGAGTCATCCGGAGTGTGGCGTGGAGCCCGGATGGCCGGTCGCTGACCAGCGGCAGCAGTGACAAGACCATATGTGTTTACAGCACATCTTGGTGATAGCAAGCAACACTCTTGTTAGAACTATTTATGCGTGTATTCCAACGGACAGCGTGTCACTGTTCGTAGTTAAAGCAGATACGCCAGGTTGGTGTAGCCCTGGTGCGTGTGTGTTATGAACGGCATATCCGTTCGCTTGGCTGATCGTGACCTGTATGTCAGCTCAAAATGCCGCAATGCTGGCGGTTAGCGGTTTCTGCTTGAGGAAATCTGGTCAGCCTACCACGGCCTGTGAGTGTCCTCGTAATCAGGTGGAATGACACTTCAGAGTCGGTTGCAAGGTGCAGTTGTTCCGGTGTCTTTGCTTGTGGGCCCCAAGTGCCGCGCGTATGGCTGTCTGCCCAATGGAAAGCCTTTGTTGCTCCGTGACCGTTCGGTCCACAGGGAACGTGCGGATTTTTAACGTTTATTTGTGCTTATAATTAAAAGTTATTTGCTTGAGAGCGCACCTGACAGGGGCCTCGTCGCCTTGGTGGGCCTGCTGGTGGGCCGTTTGTGCCGACGTGTATCTCCGGCCATCCGTGGGAGATCTGATTGAGTGGGCGTCCATGCAAGCCCCGCTGCCAGCCGTTATACGATAGGCGCTTGTGTGCGTTTGTGTCAGGGATGGATACCGTGTAGGGGGCCTATTGTTCTCGCGCTGTTGGCGTTTATTAGGCTGGATTATTTGTTAGGGCGTCTCCAGTACTAGCGTAATGGTCTGGATTCGCGACGTCTACCTGCTTTATTAGTTGCGGTTTCCAGCTTAGAACAATGAGATTCAAAACAGTCGGAGTGGTAATTGTCTTGGCGCGTAGGTTTTGGGAGTATTGTGGATGTCATGTGGGCCTTGCTTGTGCTTACATACGGTTCCGCTTTGTTGTTTAGCTGGTGAGGAGGTGCGGCGAATGCAGCGGTTTTTATTTTGGTTAGGTGGTTACCGTAAGGGTCAGGCCGCCTTCAGGTGCAAGGAAATATGGGCAACATTTCGAAGGCCCAGACAAAGATGGAGGAGGGCAACTAGGAATGGTTTTTTGGAGACTGGCGTACACAAGGCATTGGTTTCTTGAGTCTCCTAAACTAGAACTCCTAAACTAGCTTCTTCTTAGCAATGCTCCACGGCAATGTCCAGTTACAATTTGTGCTCGGTCCTGTTACACCATGTCCGTAGTGTGTGTCACGCTGGTTGCCGTCGACGTGGACTCGGTCGCTAGGTCCGTTCCTTCTTTTGCTCCGGCGGTTGCCTTTGCTGGTTGCCTGCTGTAATGGGTTGATGGCACATGCCGTTTGTGTCGTTAGTTTGTTCTACGGGCCTTTTTGCCGTATTTAGTATTAATATGCTTGGCGCTTTCTTGTCATCTCATCTTGTGCTGCTCCACGGCTTTGAGATCTTGCGGGGAGCGTGGCTGGGGGTAGAGGCTCCAAGGCCGAAATGTTGGATCGGCGGCAGCAGTTGGCCGTTATGGTTCAAATTGGGTGCTTGTGATGGGCCTACAGCTGAAACTCGGTTTGCTTGCCTTGGGGCAGAGGTCAGTTTACTGACACGTCAAATCCTCAATAGGCCGCGAAATGACACTGCTGTCCATGGAGGGAGGAACAGTTACTGTTCAATATATTATATATATGTAGTGTTGTGAGCAGGAACGTAGTAATGGCTGGTGTGCGCCTTCTAATGGTTAACTTGCCCTTGGTGTCGTGTGTATGGTGCGTGTACGGCTAACTCCATATGGTGTGTATTGGATTTCAAAAAAAGCAATTGCCATTCCAACACCCCCGTCGGCGCCTTTCGTACCGAGCAGGGGTTTCTGGCGCCTGGGATCACTCCAAGCTCCGCCGCCAGTTTCCGGCATGCTGCTTTACTTGGTACTGTTTTACCGCTCACTAAGTAGATTTTTCAGGCGGAGCCCCCGTTGCGATGCCCGTTAGATATATGCGTTGCGCGTATATCTAACGGCAACGCATATTAAATTATTCCAGACTGGAACTTGAAAATAACAATGTATGTTGTCTCTATTGGGCAATACTAGGTGCCACTCCAGCAAAAAGTTTTTCCGCCGCAAACAATTTGATTACCAGCCATCCACATCGGCCACCGACACCGCTCCTATATATATGATGTTGAACCGTCCCTGTAATTAACACGCACAATAAGTAACAGCGTTGGTAGGTAACAGCGGTTAATTGCAAAGCGCAAAGTTGCAAAAGTCGGTGGGGCCATGCTTGCATCTACTGGGAGCCCGTTCCGTTACGTAGAACAGTACCTAACAGCCAAAGTTTTGTTCATATGGACGCACGCACGCACACAAGGAGGTGGGCAATCCTAAGGGGCCCCATCGCCCCCTTAAAGCGGTGTCACGGTGGGGGCTCCGCCCTGGGACATGGATATGCCTTCTTACACTGTACACTAGCATCACCGACATACGTCGTCAACCCGCCACTCTTCTTACATCCAGCACCTGATAGTTACGTATCAGGTTGGGTCACATCTGTTATTGCTTGTACTCGCGGTTCACATGCGAACCTCTCCCATTGCTTGCTCTTGTCCTACTCAACTACACTGTACACTAGCACGTGTCGGTATCAAAGCGACATGCCTGTCAGCCTCAACTGGTAAAGGGGTTGCCAGCTCGTCAGATTACGCATGCATTTAACACAACAACTTCAAGCAAAGGGGTTTCGCCTTAACAAGCAAGGTGTGTCAGCGGGAGGGATGACACCAAGCACGCCAGCTATGCCCTAAGCCCGACCCGTCCACCGCCGGCACGGGCAGTATTTTTTACAGGCAAGGGGTTTCGGCTTCCTAAGCAAGGGTTATAATTACGGCTTTCCAGCCAAAACTTTCCCCAAAAGACCTGCCAGCGTCTTTTATAGGGTTGTCAGCTCAGCTGGTGCCATGGGGTCACAGATACGCATGCCTGTCAAGCTGTCATTCCAGTGGCCATCATATCTTCGTACCCGTGTCAAGGGGCTCCATCCTTTTCCAGCTAAGAGAAAACGAACACCGTTTGCGTGTTCTTTCGCATCACCTCCATTGCAGTGGAAGTAAATTGTGGTGCGTTGCATGAGCATCTTTCTTAGCATGCCGACTAGCTGAAAACAACGCCGAGCATGTCTTCGTCTTCGGATGCCTCGTCAAAGCCGAGGTCCGGGCTTGTCGATTCGCGACATGCTGCTGCAAGATGTACGCCAGAGACGTTATCTATACCCGGTAAGTGGTCCTTGCCGTTGGCTCTTGACTGGTCATCGTTTTGCGTTGTAAGTTTTCCTGGACACGCTGACATTAATACTTGATAAAGGTAACAAGTTTCATTTAGTTGCGTTGGTCGTATCTACGTGCTCGCTTTTACGGCGGCATCGCCACCTCGAAGCCGCGCCGCGGCGGAGCCCCAAATATGCGACAGCGCATGGACTATCTATGTGTATGTGTTTAAACTCCGAACTCGCCTCTCTGCGTGGTTGCGTAACGGGAATGTGTACGAGCTCCAAGACGCGGCATCCGTGCTGAGAGGCCTGCGATCGTGCGATGACTTGGCTATTTCCACCAAACGTCATGTATACGCAGCTGCATGGGTTGTGCTGCGTGATTGCGCTTGTCACGGCTAGGCGTACAAGCAAGGGCCTGAATGTGATGGGATATGGGCCACCGGGGAGTGGGGGACCAATTGGTCTCTATTTGGTTGTGGGACCTGGGAGTAGCGCCCCCGTGACTGCTCCTCCTTTCCTCCTGTCCCCACCCTGCGGCCCCACCCTCCCACCTACCTCCCTGGCGAAACATCCATTCCCTTGTACGTCGCAACCCTTCCTCCCTTCCAACCCGCCCGCCCTCCCTCCCGCCCGCCCGCCCGCCTCCCGCAGTTCCCCGTGGAGCTATAGCTCGACAATTGCGGAAAAAATCCACACTTTCCTTTACAAAAGTGTGACTCCTCCATCCTTCATCCGCCGCCCTGGACACCGTAGCCCCAGCGGTCGCACACGCCCGACATACCAAGCCCTGACCCACATGGTAACGTGACGGCACTGAAACCGCCCGACCGCGCACGAAGCCCTTCATCTTAGTTCTTACAAACAGCCGGCCCATCACCTCCATGCACTCCCCCCCTCCTCATCATCATCCCTGCCACGGAGCTCCCTGCACTCGCAGCCACCCCGCAATCACACGCCTCGCAGCCTACCAATTCCCCCCACTGCTCCATGCACCCTCCCACCTCACCCTCCCTCCCTCTTCTGCTACATTCCTAGCTGCGTTCAACTATTTACGACGCTGATTCCAATACTTCGACGTCTGGAACACCCTCAAGCCATTTCCGGTAACCTACGGTCAGGGTCAGTGTTTCCGCGGCTCAGTTTATCTAATCCCTCTTCGACCGCTTCATTCATCCTCCTCAGCCCCTCCACCCTCGCCTCCCTCTCCCCCGCTCAACGCATGATTCCTCTATCCCCCCTCCCTCCCCCGCTCAGTCCCTCCACCGCCCGCTCGTCACCCAGGACAGCTGCATGCGCACCCGGTCCCAGGCCGCCTCGAACGAGTCCAGCGCGGGCCGCACGTCCAGGAAGAAGGCGGCGGCGGCGCGCTGGCCGGGCTGCGGGGCGCCGTTATAGAAGTCGATGATGTAGCGAACCTGGGGAGGGGGGAAGGAACGGGGAGGAGGGAGGGTGGAGGCAAGGAAGCATGGTAACGAGTTGTGACGTGATGTGATGTTGCATGGTGAGGGACATATGGAGACCAGGCAAAACATCAACCATGTGTGGAAACAAAGTGTCAAGGCAAATGCGACATTTTTAAAAGTTCGTGGCAGGCGGGCTAATGGCCTCTGGTGACGCTGCGCAAGCGCCGTCAACCCTAGCTGCATGCAGTAATGGCGGGCACTCACCTCCTTGCCGCAGCGGTCCACCACCCAGTCGTGGCGGTCGAAGGGCAGTCCGAAACCCTGGGAGGGAGGGAGAGGGAAAGGGAGAGGCAGAGCAGGGGGGGAAGGGGGCGGGTTAGCAGCAAGGACCCAAATCAGCAGCGTCACAGGAATCCGACAGAGCAGAGAGGGATACACAGGGATACCGAGGGATGCTCGAAGGGATAGCATCTTAAGGATATCTAGGACCTCCGCCACGCCTCCCTGCCCAACAAAACCCTCCTCGGCCTGCCACTATTCCTCCCCCTCCTCCTGCCCCTTTTCCTGCCCATTAAAAGATCCGGTATAGGGTTTCCCTTTCCACACACACGCACCATGAAGTTGAGCAGTCGCGCCTTGGGGCTGAGGTCGCTGGGTCGGCCCTGGAAGCGCTTCAGTCGCGGTTCCGCGCACTCCTGGCAGTGCAGCCGCTCCCACGCCATCACCTCCCGCCAGGCGCGCTCGTTGACGGAGTTGTGGATGGCCACCACACTGCGCATGTCGTCAGCCTGCGGGTCCCAGCCCTGAAGGGGGGGAGGGGGGAGGGCAGGGGGAGGGGGGGTAAAGGGCCATGTCACTAAACACGTGGCAAGGCACCACCATGGGTTGCATCATATAGGGTAGGGGGCGGGGTAAGGAGTTGGACGCACTGGCCATGTGGGCTCGTGGAGGTGGTTACGGAGCACCATGGATCCCGAGGTGCAAACATTGTTGCCCGCCGTGCTGGCCCTCCTGGCCGCATCCCTGTCCTCCGTGGATTGAAGGGCATGGCGAAGAAAACGCCTCCTCCGGTTCGATAACCAAGCAGCCTATCAGCACCGGCGCACGTGTTCCCCCCGGTTTGCTTCTCCTTCCCTCCCTTGAACACGTCTTTCCTAGGCCCGTACCCACCAGCCACCTTACCCCCATTTGCTGACACCAGCTATTCCTAACCCTCGAGTCACGGAGCTTTCTTTTCCGCTCCCCACCTTGCGCTTCATGGCGTTGAAGAACATCTGCTCCGAGGGGTAGACCCAGAAGTCCTGCCCCGACTGCTGGTGCGGCGGCAGCTTGTCGGGCGGCGACATGGGGATGTTGGAGGTCTGCCGCTGCGCGCTAAGGCCGGGAACCTCGGGAGGCATGGCGGACAGCGAGGCGGGGATGTTGTTGAGCGGGTTGAGAGTGCCACCGTCAGCGGAAGGGGAGGAGGAGGAGGGGGACTGCACTGGGCAGCCGCCGGAGGGAAGCGGGGAAGAGGAGGTGGAGGCTGCAGCGGCGTAGGAGCAGCCCGATGGGGTCTGGTGGGGTTGAGGGAAAGAAGAGAAAGAGGAGTGGCAATGAAAGGCGGTTGGGTTCGCCCAAACGCGTGTGTACGTGCGGGTAAAGAGAAGGCATGCTGTCTAGGAGTTCATGATTTGCATGGTTGGTACCGGTTAGCACCTGGCAGCCGGGAGCTGAGGATGTCATCCCTCAGTTGGGTTAGCATACAACGGTACGATTTGATGGAAGACGGCTATAGGAGGATGTAAAGGATATCTCAACGCAGGCAATTTCCCCTGAACCTACTTGCTGCGGGCGAGAAGGCCCGGCCGACGGCGTCGCACCATTAGCCGGAGCTCCGACAGCAGCTGCTCAACCAGACGAGCCCATGTCACAAAGTTGAAGTTCCACCACTAAGTGCTTTATATGCATGGGTGCATCGCACCTGCAGACGGTGAAGCCGAAACTGGGCATTCCGTGCTGTCCCCGCTTGATGAGTATAGAGTTGACGAATACTTGGCAAATAGGCGCGTGGAGCGCGCAGCTGCGCCTCCAGTCTCTGAGCTTTCAACCATGCTTTTATGCTAGCAGCGATGTCCAGAAAGTTCACTAGCCGGTTACCGGTAATAGTCTCAAAGGCTTACAGGTTACAATAGAGGGACAAAGAGATAATCCTTTCTTAGCAGCTCACCTTGCAAAGGTAAATATATACTTCAAGGTGAACGAAGGCAGCTCGTTGCCTTGCATCACACATCGCCCGTACAGCCGCGACACAGCCCCCACTAACAGGTAATATGGATCACCGTAACACACATAGCCAGTATTGAATATTCATCTGCAGAAAATTCGATCGCATAGCCTCCGCTCGCCAAAAGCTCACCAGTAATCGCTAAGCCGAATCACAACACCCTCCCCAGGTGCACGCTATTCTACTACTTTCTACGGACGCCCGTCTACAGCTCGCATTGTCGCGTCATCCTGCTCTCCTAGAGTCATATTATGTGGAAAACCAGACCTATCTTGCTGGTATAGATTTAGTCACTCCTACGCCCGCTGCTCTCGTATGTTATGAGCACTTGGTCACTTTACCTGCGATTCAGAGGGCACCAACAATAGCAAAGAGTGAACCACACGACGTACACTAACAAGAAGCACTAGAAGGATGAGCACCAGGTCATCCATGGGCCTGGACAAGCCATACCCAAGCCCCTACCTCCCACCCACCCCCCCCGAATGCGCTCACTGCATGAGTCGGGATATGGGATTGGGACTTAGTTGTTTGCATTTCTTATATAATTTCCCCCCCCCAAGCCTCTACCTCCAACCACCCCCCAAAGCCAGTACCCCCACCCCCACCCGCCACTCACTTGTCGCGACGTAGTCATCCCAGCAGGGTATGTTGTCGGTGGCTTCGTTAATCATGGCCACGATCAGCCGAGCCAGGTTGTTGTGAACCACCTGCAGAGTGGGAAGTGGGGTGAAGCGCACAAAGGCTGGCACGTCAACCACGTCCCTTGCCAACCGTCAAACTCTTAAACCCTTGCGCTGACTGCAGCATGCGTGGATGCCTTGCCGCGTTCCCGACGCAAGGAGCGACAAGGCCAGACAGAAGAAATGAACCTGAATGAAGATGACAGAACTTTGCACTACCTCCACAACCACTCCAACAACGCCAGAGACAACCCACAAGCCCCATGTCCCCTCTCCCTGCCATGCCCCACCACCCACCGGCGGCGGCATCTGCAGGTTGCGCGGCGGCGGACTGGTGCTGTAGACGCGCTTGTCGAAGGTCCACACCGCCAGCGTGCTGTTGTCCGTCATGTTTCCGTCCTTGTCGTAGCGGCAGGGGTAGGTGAGGTGCAGCAGGTAGTAGGGCCGCCCCTCGCTGTCCACCTCCTCCTTGTCGAAGGGAGGGTGAGCCAGCATGTTGGGGTGGACCTGCGCGGGGGCGGGAGGCGGTAAAGGAGGAGTCAAGGAGGCGAACAGTCAGAGCTACCGGGTAGCTGGTGTGTTGTCCGTGCCGCCGGTTCGGACCAGCAGGCGCACACGCAAGGCGGTTCAGTAGAAGGATCCCGCCGCTCACAGCAGCCCCATGTGGCTCTGCTGCGCCCATGCGGACACCCCTGTCCGACCCACATGGCCTCCCTACCGGGGGCTTTCTCCTCTCCCTCTTGAACCCTACGCCACCCGCCCACATCCCATCATCCGCAGGGGCTTCCCCTGGGTTGCCACTATCCCTCCCTCTGCTAGCTCCGTCCTGCCCCTCCTCCCTTCCCTCGAACCCCCTCCTCCCGCCCCCGCCCCACCTTCATGTTAACGTGCTGCCCTGCCCGGTAAGTCGCCAGCGCGTACGCGTACATCTCCAGCACCCAGTTCCACGCCTCGTGCGCCTCCTTGTCCTCAAACACCTCCAGCGTGGTGTTGAACCAGATGGGCACCAGCGTGCGGAACTCCTCCACACTCACAAAGGTGGGGCTGTTGCCGATCTGCGGTACGGCGTGCACCTGCTCGTCCGACACGTTGCCGATGAACTTGCGCACAATGTCGGGAAAGTTCCAGGGCACGATGTAGGTGAAGAGCGCGGCGCCCTGCGACTCGCCGTTCATGAGGTTGGGCATGGGGCGCATGAAGAGGTGGTCGGTCTCGCACATGACAAAGTATTTCTGCGCGGGCAAGGGACAGGGAGGAAGAAATGGTAAGGAGGGAGGGTGGGTGGGAAAAAGAAATTCCAATGTGTGGTGGGGTGGGCGGGAAGGAGTTGTGTTAGCAGGACGGTGGATGGGCATCACCCACATCAGGGTATCCCGAGCATCAAGTCGACCCAGGACTACCCGGAGTAGCTAGGGACGCCTCCACACCTCCTTCGCGGCTGCACTTCCCTGCCTGGCTGGCACAGCCGCAATCCGTGCCATTCACATACACGTATTGCTGTACCTCAACCACACCCGCCCACCCGCCCAGCGCCCCCTCCCAACCCCCTCCACCCCCTCAGTCAGTTAGTTGTTTCCTCTTTACCCTCCCATCCCAGCCACCCACCTCGGGTATGCTGACTTTGTTGAGCCACTCCATGAAGGCGTACGGCCGGTTGAGTACGATGTAGGTGGTGTTCTTGGAGATGGATGGCGGCAGCGGGTCCACCACAACCGTAGGCACTTCGTCCATCAGGTCGTCCGCCGACCCGCTGTGAAGCACGCGCGTGAAGCCGCCCATGTCACAAGCCGGCTCACGCAAACACGCGTCACGCTGCTTCTTGTACCAGTAATAGTGGATGCGCGCCTGCCAGTGGTTGGAGAAGCCGGCTGCGGTGGTCACGATGTGATAGGCACGTGGGTTCTGGACCGTGCTGCCGTACACGAGCTTTGTGACGGTCACGGTCTTGACTTCGGTTGTGACCGTTGTTTCAGGGCAGGGGCTGACATGGCCTGTGGCTTCGCTAGAGTCCTCGGTGTCTACGGCGTTGCTGCTGGCTTTGCTGCTGCTAGAGTCACCGCCAAGACGGACTAGAAGGCGGTCGCGGAGGTTTGGCACCCGACGGGTCAAGCCACCTGACCCGACGGCTCCACCTCCACCGACGCTGGCTTGAAATATGCTATAGCCGAAGAAGATCAACGCCGCAGCAACAAAAAGCCCAGCGACATGCTCTAGGCGAATCCGCTGGCGCCGTGCCGACAACTTCCCGGTGCTCCCTGATTTCATCATTATACAAGCCTATTCTGGTTTAGATCACGCCCACGTGCCCTGTCCTGAAGCCCTAGCTTCGGGACTTCGGCAAGAAGTAGCAATTTGACGGAAGTTAGTCTAACCCTGACATCCTGTACAGGTGTAATAAATATAACAATATATTCTAAGGTCACAGAGTCTACGCTTCAAGCTAAAGTATACTTGACGGTTAAGAGACAGCAAGTTGCGTTGTCGTTCACTGGCTCTACGACAACCGGAAAGCTACGCGACCCAGCAGGAGGAAGATGCACTGTGAGCGCATGCCACGACGTTGAGGTTAACACCTATTCATACTGAAAGTCAACCTGGCGGACCCTGACCATCCTCGCCGGGGTCCGCTTGCAGCATATGACATTCTTACCATAATCCATGACCCAGATCGAGACATGGAGAATTGTAGAGCTGCACAAACGGTCTATCGTGTCGCGCAGCTCTTTGCTTTGAGTACGTCGTCGACTTTCAATGCGGATGTCACTGTAGGGATTTAGCTCACCATAGGCCATGCAGAACGGCTTTAACGGGTCGCGTTCGCCGCCTAGACATGCCGTCACGTCTACGCTGGCCAGCGGTGCCGAAACGAGCGATGGTGGTGGAGTGGTCGCTGCGGTGGCGGGGACATTCAAACGCGCTCGGGCGTCGCGTCCAGGTGCGGCACCCAAATCAAGAAGCGCTACTAGCCTTAATCCGGTCCTGTGTTCTTCCTGAGCGAAGGAGCAGCTCATACGGGGGGTACGTACTATGCAAGCAGCTACAAGGCTGTACCGGTCGTCTTGTTACGGAAGGACGGTACCAGTGCTTATAAACCTTAACATGCACGCCTCAACTCCTTGCTACCACCCTTACAACGGTACTAATAGCAGTAATAGGCCACCAAACGTGACATGGGCTGCAAATTCTGTTCATCATCAGCCGCCAGGCTCCCCTGCCGACCCATGGGCGACACCAAGTAGTCAAAGTCGCGCCCCACGCACGTCACGCTAGGCCGCTCAGTAGGCAAACCACACGAGCCCTTCCTAAGCCAGCCGCCGTACCGCATATCGCTCCTGCGGAGGTTGCCGCACCCTCCTCCTGTTTCTGCCGCCCAACCCGCGACTATCGCTGGCCTGCTGCTGCTGCTGCCCTGCTTGCCCCCACGGACTCCGCGCCCTGCCCCTCCCCCCTCCCCCAGTGTCCCTGGTTACGGGTGCGGTGGGCACTGCTGCCGGCTGGGTGGGGGGCGCGCTGCCCGCACTGGTGGGGCTGGTGCGGCCGGGCGGGGGAGGCGGAGGCAGGCGGCAGCAGGAGCAGCAGGTGGGTAGCGGTGGGTGGGGAGCGGTCTAGGGGGCTGGGGGCGGCGTCTAGGGGGGATGCGAGGCTCCTGTGGGCAGGATCAGGATGGGGGCAGGGATCGAACGAGGTTGGGAGTCTCCTTCATGAGTCCCAACCAGGCGGCAGGTAGGGAGGAGGTGAACTAGACATACTGGTGTGGTGCGCATGTCACTCTGAGACCCGAACCCCTGCCCACGAGCCTGCCCCTCTCCTCCTCCGCCCCCAGCCCCCCAGTCCGTACGGTCTGGGCGGCGGCAGCCGCAGCGGCTTCCTGACGCCGCGTCCGGGCAGCAGTGGAGGTGGAGGCGTGCTGGGGCCGGGGGGCGCCGGCAGCCCGCACAGTCCCATGGGTCGGCCGCGAGCTGTGCCGGTGATGGTGCAGGTACGGCATTGGGGGCAGTTGGCGTGGGGTGCGGCGGGTGGAGGTTTGGGTGTGGTTCGGGAGGCAGGAGGGGCTGGAAGTGGTTGTGGAGGGGCTGGCTAGAGACCCACCATCGCAGGTGTGAACAGGAGGCTTTCAAGGGGGCTGACCTAGTTCCGCATGTGCATCTGGATTACTTATCTTTGCGCTTGGGGCAATGTCGCAGACTGTGAGGTCTAACCGAGTCGCGACTATTGCTGGTTGAAAATTAACTTCCAACCCCGCGGTCGTGTCCTTCGGGGCCTTCCGCAATTTCTGGCGGTCTTTTGACCCCACCCAAAAATGTTGATGTTGCTCACACTAGACAACACCCGTTCCGTACGAACCTTGTGCAGTAAAACAATGACCTTTTGTCGTTCCGTGCGAATCTTGTGCCGTAAAACAATGACCTTTGTTGGCTTTGGGCGCCTGGGTCCACTATTCCCCTTGCTGTACCTCGCATCCCCATGCCCAACTCCCCGCCTCCAAAGGGATTTAGCTACGGCTACGGTCAAAAATGTTGTCATGGCTCGGCAGCCAATCGCGTCTCAGTTCCGCTCGGCATGCAATCCCCGGCCCCCTGCAGGACGGGGTGCGCTGGGTGAACCTGGTTCGTTGGCTCAGCCTGGCTCGCCTCTTCACGCCCTGCTTCCGGCCGCGGGGGGGCAGCAGGCGGAGGGTGCGGTTCGGCGGGGCGGCGGGCAGCGGGCGGGGGCTGCTGCTGGGACCGAACGGAGAGGGAGGGGGCAAGGTGAGGCGGGCGGCAAGGGTGGGGAGGACGGGGGGTTGCGGCTGGCGAGGGCTGTGAGAACCCTGAAAAGGGTTGATAAAGTGGTGGTAATCCGCTGCCGCCCCATGCATGTGCCCTCCGCCCCCTCCGCCCCTCCGCTGCCCTTCGCCCCCTCCGCCCCCTCCGCAGGCTGCAGCTGAGCTGGCCGGCTCCACCGCTGCTCCCGCCCCCACCACTGCTGCGGGTGCCGCCGCTGCTGCTGCCCCCGGCGGGTCGACCAGCCGACCCGTGTACATCCAGGTGGGGGCGAGGGTGAGGGGCAGGGCGCACCCCTCCCGCCCACCTACTGCCCACCCCCTCCTCCCCAGACGCCTCCCCCCTCCCTCCCCCCGTCCCATCTTGTTTGCCATTCTTATTCAACACGTCGGGTATTCTCCCCCCCCCCCGCTTTCCTTGCCTCATTCCGCATATCTGGCTCTCCGCTGGACATCGCTATCAACTCGCCTCGACCTAACATACTCCATGGTCCTGGCGGCTTGCCATGGACATGTCTCATGGTGCACATATCCTGTGCACGCAGGTACGGGTTTTATCGTGTGTCAGTCTGTGTTTGTTTTTCATGCGTGCTCGTGTTGTGCTGTTCCTGTTGTTTGCCTTTGCCCAACGGCGCGGTGGGTCTCCAGCTCACCTTCAGCAGCCTCCACACATGCCCAAGACTATGGTAAGGTTGCTCCATAATTGGTAAGTTCGGTAAGTTTAGCTCGCATTGCTTTAACCACCTTTTCGGCTCGACTCACGGTTGATTCCACCAGGGGTTGTCAGCAACTTGTCTCATTATCATACCACACTTTGGAATTTCTTTTTTTTCCCCCCCTCTCCCCCCACCCCCTCCCCCCGCAGGTCCGCCAGGCCCGGCAGCTGGTGTGGCCCTCCCTGGCGGGTGTTCCGGCTGAGGGCCCCTCCTGCTACTGCCTGCTGCTGGCGGGGGACACCCCGGTGGGCAGCACGCAGGCGCGGCAGGTGGCGGGGGGAGGGGGAGCAGGAGGGGTGGCAGGAGGAGGAGGAGGTGGGAGCAGTACGGTGGTGTGGAATGAGGTGTTCAGCTTCCCCAGGAGCCTGCTGGAGGTGAGGGCGGGGGGAGGGGAATGAAGGGGAGAAGGGGTTGTGGGGGGTTAAGAGGGGTAGTCGGGAAGGTGATGCAAGCGCTTCCCCCGCGGTTGGGTCACACGCGCGGCTCCGTCCCTGAAGAGCACTTCGCTCACCTCAAGTCCACCACCACCGGTCGGACCTTGCGCCCCTTGCTACTGCGCATCCCCCCTCCTCCGCAGACCGCAATCCCCCTCTCCCTTACTGTCGTACCTTCCCACAGCCTCACGACCCACCAACTCCCTCTCCCTCCCCCCATGCATGTTCGATGTAGCCTTTGACACCCCATGCATGTTTGCACCCCATGGTGAAGCCTTGTCACACAGCTCCTTGATTGTATCGTCCCCCTCCCCTCCCCCCTGCAGGCTCCCGGCGGCATCAGCCTCCCCGGCGCCCCCCCTCGCCTGCTGCTGCAGGTGTGGGTGTGCGAGGGCGGCGGGGTGGGTGCGCTGGGGGCCTCCGAGGAGGTGCTGGTGGGTCAGGCGGAGCTGGGCGGGCGGCTGGGGGGGCTGCTGGCGGCGGAGCGGCCGCACCCGCTGAGCGCGGTGCTGGAGCTGCAGGTGGGGGAGGGGGGGAGGGGGGGAGGGGGAGGGAATGGGGAGGGGGGAGGGGGACTGAGCCGCGTTGAAAAACGGACTGGGCGGAGAGGGGCTGGGGAGGGGTGACGGTGCGTGAGTGGGTGGGCACAACAAGGGGCTAAGCCTGGGACAAGCGTTCTTGCTAGCGTATGTTCATGCATCATGCGCCTCCTTCGCCCATCCTCTCCTCAGGCCCTGGACGAGGACACGGGTCAGGTGGAGCCGGGCAGCTGCGGGGAGCTGCTGGTGGCGGCGTGGGTGGAGCCGGGGGCGGGGGACGCGGGTGAGAGGGGGGTTGCCGGGGGCGGGCATTGCCTGGTAGGCGGGTAGAAGCGGGCCCCGTTGTCGTACTTGTACTGCAAGCCCCGCCTTCATGTGTCCCCCTGCCATCAGCCCCCGCCCCGCTCCGCTCTGAGGTCCAATCTCTCCCCTCCGCCCCCTCCCCTCCCCGCAGCCCCCCGCACCTCCCCCTGCCTGCTGCCCGGCGCCCCCTCCGCCGCGGAGGCCGGTGTCCTCTACTCCAACCTCTCCGCCCCCTGCGGATCCAAATCCATGCCGGCTGTCGTACACTCCCCCCTCGGCACCCTGTACGAGGAGCCGGCGGTGGCGGCGCTGCAGGTGGTGGTTTCGGGGCTGGCGGGCCTGCGGTGGGAGGCGCTAGTGGCGGGGGCGGCGCAGGGGGGGATGAGCAGGCGGAGGGTGCGGCTGGAGGGGGTGCTGAGGTCGGGGGGGAGCTGTAATGTGATGGCGAGGGCTGGGGCGGCGGCGGCGGCGGGGAATGTAGGGAGTGGTGGCGGGGCTGGTGGGAAGGGTGGACGCAGCGGCAGTGCTGGCGGCGGCGGCGGTGGGGGGGTTCAAGCCCCGGCGGTAGCAGCTTCTCAGCCTGTGCTTCAGAGTCGTGGAGTGGCGGCCTACCTGGCCCGCTACCGCCAGCGGCACCAACACCAGCAGCAACAGCAACAACAACACCCCACCCGCCTGCAGCAGCCCTTGCAGCAGCAACCCCAGCAGCAGCCCCAGCCAGGCAGGCGAGGTCGGCTGCTTCCAGCTGCCTCTCCCCGCTCCCCTCCTGCCAGCAACCAGGGACAGCAGCAGCAGCAGCAGCTAGACACCGACAACAGCAACAACAACAACAGCGGGGTTGGCAAAACCGGCGGCGGTGGGGGCAACAGCAGCAGCCCCCTCAACCCGCTGGTCTGGGCGCGGAAGGCCTCAGGTGCCGTCGTACGGCGCTTATCCGGCGGCCCTGCTGCCGCCGCCGCCGCCGCTACTGCCGCCGCCGCCAATGCCGCCGCCGGCGACGACATCCTCATTGAGGAAGATGACGAGCCGCCGACGTCGCTCGGCGGCGGTAACGGCGGCGCAGCCGACGGCGGCTCCGCGCCTTCCGGCGTCGGCGTCTCCTCCTCTTCCCTCCTCGCTGACGAGGCGGACGAGGCGGGCTCCTCCAGCCTCGCCCTGGTGGCCGCTGCTCCCCTCATGAGCTGCATGGGGCCGGGGGAGCTGGGGGCAGGGGGGGCAGCCGCGGGCGGGGGGGCGGGGCCGGGCGGCGGCGGCGGCAGCGGAGCCGCATGGCAGGGGGCGGCAGCACTGCAGGGTCCGCAGGGCCGAGGTGTGTTCTGCTACTTCAAGGTTACCGTGGACAAGCAGTCCCACAAGAGCCGGTTGCGCTGGCTGCCTGCGCCTCCGGACACCGCAGGGGGGGCTGCGGGCGCCGTTGCTGCCATCGCCTCCTCCTTCTGTGTTCCCCTGCAGCCCTACCGCTTCCTGTTTGCACTGCAACGGCCGCTGGTGAATGCGCCGGTGGGGATCACGCTGTACGTCACCACATCCGCCAGGTGGGGGGGAGGCGGGGGGCGGGGTGGGGAGGCGGGGCGGGGAGGCGGGGCGTCTGCATCACTTTGTGTCCATGTGTGTAGCTAGGTGCCTGGTTCCGTAGCCCCATGCGGCTCTAGCAGCAACCCGCACTGCCGACCTTTCTTCCCCTCTTCCTCCTCCCCCCTCCCTCCCCAGGCGGCGCGGTCGTGCGGTGGGTCGGCTGACGGTGCCGCTGTACGAGCTGGTGGAGCAGCTGGTGGCGGCGGACGTGCGGGCGGAGGCAGCGAGGGCTGGGAGGGGAGGAGGGGGGGGGAGGGGGAGGAGGGGGCGGGTGGCAGCAGCGGGGCGACCTGGGGGTGAGCGGGCGGGAGGTGGAGGTGGCGCTGCCCTTCGAGGAGGCGGAGCTGGGTGAGTCAGGGGTGGGGGGCGGAGGGGGGAGGGGGGAGTTCGGCGGAAGGGCTTGACAAGCGCCATGAGGTTTCCTTTCTCTCTTGTCCTGACTCCTACCGGCACCTACCTGCCCCAACC